CCCCCCCCCCCCCCCCCCCCCCCCCGCCGCTGTGTCTATTCAGAAACTCAGATGTGTGGCTTCACCCTGGAGATTAATATTAATTTTGGGACATTGCAGTTTGGTCAAATCGTGTTTTATTAAAGATCGTATCTAAAATGTTAAAGAGGAGAATCTGCTTTTAAAGTAAGCTTGCACTCAGACATCTGACTGTCCATATATTCATGAGTGCATTCATTAGTAACAGATTCTGTATCAGACGCTGTTATTCTCATTATTGAGGGTCATAATAAGGCGATACACAGGTTTCCAAGCGACATATGAGTGAGTTGGTAGAAGATTAATTACTTTGAGCTTATGAGGGGATTTACATGAGAAGTTCTTAAAGTGCCTAAAACTGCATGAAAGTGCTGCAAAAAAGTAATAGAAAGACACCTCCCAGTTAGCGCAGAGTGAAAAATAGCATTTGTACAAAATCTGTTGCTCTCACTGTTTGTCAACGTTTGTCAGACTCTGCGATCAATGCTGTGGTGATCAGTTTGACTGTGTGACAGCTGACAGATGTGGCACACTGATAGCTTGGAATGACAAAAAAATCACATTGTTAACGCTTGTAATTTTTCAGGGAAACAAAAACCGAAAACTGTGTCAACATCAAAAACTGAAGTTTACAAAAGCAGCTGACGTATATCTATGAAAGAGTGGCATATAAATTTACCTCTTAACAGTAATTTGACTGGTTTCCTTTAAGTTGCTTTATTTGTGAAAGAGACTTTTCTGTGTTCAGCCTTGAAAGCTTTGCAAAGAGTTAGTCAGCTCGCTAAAGTGACAAAGTGATGCAGGCAACGACACAACATAGTAAAACAGGACTTGGAGTTGCATTCGGAGTAACATGTCCAATAACAACAGCGTCTTTATTTATTTGTTAAACATGCTAAAACCAGAAGTCAGCCAACAAAACCTGCCTTACAGCGGCCTAGAGGACACAGTTACATTTTCAATGAAAATATCCATCCAAGCTATCATTACATTGTGGCAATGTGTTTCAACCTTCATTGTTTGGAAACAAGAAATCCATCTATTTTTGACCTGAACAATAAATGTTACATTACTAAATTTGTGCATGTGCAGGGATTACATAAGCATCCGTGTGTACACATGCACTGTGTTGCACACTGAGGCAAATGGCTGTAATTTGTCACAACGGTTGTGTGTCTGGCTGATGGAGTGAGAGCATAAGCAGGGTGAACGCAGACCGAGAGCCATCCTCCACAAAGACACGCATGGGGGGGAAGCAGGCACCGCGGGTGAATTAACTAGAGAAATGATTGAAAAGGCCCGAGAAGTGAATTGAGCTTTATGAACATCCATTATTGAGTCGAAGCAACGGGACTAACATAGGAAAATTGGATGGAAAAGGGGAAGAATAGCATGGTAGGACAGGGTGGGAAAATGTGCGGCGAGGAGGCCAGAGGTGTAGCGGGGAGTAAGAGAGGGAGATGCGTGGGTGTTTCATCGGTGATAAGACACCGACAAAAGGAAAAAAGGTTGGATAAGACACATTACATCAAGGTCCAAAAAAAGGGCACTCAAAGGAAAATAAGGTGTGAGAGATTAGAGCATTATAGGAGGCATATCATTTTTAAAACATTTGATGACGCAAAAAGAGGAGGCGGACAACATCACACCTCTGAATCTTTGCTCAAGAGAAGACAAAAACAACAACAAGTGGTGGTGTTAAATTTCAATGGTGACATTAAATGAAAGGCCTGTGTCCTTGTCTGGACCGGAAGGAGACTCACAGCTCACACTGTTATCACTCACACCAACCTGTTGCCCTCGCTATCTGTACCATCCAGCTGACTGATCACCTCAGAATAGCACATGCTAACATCATGGAGAGAAACAACGCCCAGAAGATATTACTGTGAGATTATGCCCCCATTTATGTGACTAATGACGTCTGTTTTCCATGCTCGGGGTGTATGGAGGGAGGGGCAATTTATGCAGGAAAACCTGCTGAATTAGGGCTCTCTTGAATGCATAGGAACCCGGTGACATTCGTTGAAGTCCTCAATTGATGCCATCAGGGACATCAATAAATCATGTTGCAAAGCAGGATGCTGCGCACTGATCCAATGCAGGCTTTGTCCCACCAATCATTCATTGTTGACTCAATGTCAGGGGACAGGGGCCAGAGCGACTGTCAATGCATCTAAAGTTACACTGGTGAAGTAAAAAACAACAACACAACATTTACTCCCGCTGATTAAGTTCTGCGTGAGACTTATGCCATGGAAGAACCATATTGTTCAGGCGCACTAATCAATCATACTGGAGCACTTATTGTGTGGTATGCAGGCTATCGGTGCTTACGCACTAACCTGGTTGCATCATCAATCCTGGGGGGGAACGGGGGGGAGTGGAAGGTGGGATATTTATCTTTCTTTCCAGGGGTCACCTCATGCTACATGCAATGGAGAAAGATGTGGTTCGACAGTGACAATCTGCCGATGAGGCAAGTGTTGGAGAGCGGCCGGTTGTGTCACATCATCAGCGGGCAGCTGGCAGTGTCACTATTGGAATTGCTCTACGGGAAGCCAAAAATAGGAGCTGCAAAACCATCCATCAATAGGACCCGTGACGGTTCACCAGGCTGTACTTATGAACTTCTACTGCTCCGTCATGAGGGTCAAAATGAATGAATGTATGAATAAATGAAACTGCAACACAATGACTGCATGAAGATTGAACATACGTCAGAAGTATGTGGAGGTTTTTTAATTACTTAAGAAAAGGTTACGCAATAGCTCAATGTATTTTAGCACCTTCATCTTCAAAGATCTATATTCATTAATCTGAGTTAACTGTCATTTATAGTTTCTGCAAATTGTATTTCTCAGCATTAAGGTCTAAACGTTTCCTCTCAGACCTCTATCCACAACCAGGATTAAAATCATGGTGGATAAACACTGAATCTAACTCCCCCCAGGTCGCTTCAACCTCCTGAATAATAACTATGGTCCTCGTGAAAATGTTAAGGTATCTGACAAAGCCGGATGAATCAAAACATTTCTTTATAAAATGTACTAAACAGTTTTCCAGCACCTGTAAAGTTTTATTCAGGATGTACCTGATCTATGAAGTAGACTGATGCTGTTCGAATGATAAATATAAACAGTATGTGTCTATCAACAACTAAGTCAATGTGCCCTTGGGAAAAACCCTCCGCCTACACTTTCTCTGTAAGTTGCTTTGAATAAACACATGAATGCCTGAGAAGTAAATGTACGAGAACTAAAGGGAATCGCTGTATGTCCACCTCATTACTCAATAGGATAGCATGTATTACTGTTGGTTGGAAAGCCCCAGGGCATAGAACCATAACCAATAATTAAGGCTGTCCTCCTCTCCGCCCAGCCGGCCCTCCATGGATCCCATTTAGCCTCGTTTATGCTAATCACAACCAGCAGACAAACCCCCATAGGATTCCCTCTAAATCCCTCGGGGCAAATGGAGAGGCTTTATCTACAGTGCTCATCAGAATACCAATGAGCCTTTATCACATCATACCGGCGCACACACACGCTGCTCCCTAATACAAAGAGTTTCATACCTCGCTGTCCAGGATAAAGGCTGACAAACCCAAATCAAAGCAATTATTAGCTTTAAATGGGGGGTTTTGTTGAAGGTAGTCCAAACCTTTAATTTTAAACTTTGACGTGCCGTGAGAGCGAGCCACAGGAACAGATCAGACCCATCAGCTTCAGGCCGACCTGTCTGACTAACTGCTGGTAAGATTGGATTATCACGCCTGGACAGAGCGCTATCGGCCCGGACTCACTCCGATATACCAACAGTACTATTAGCACTAATACTACCTGTACCATTATCACTACCACTACTACTGTTACTGCAACCAACAGTACTATTACTATCACTTCCTGTACCATAATGACACAACCAATAGCAATATTTCTGCTGCTACCGTTTCAGAATAATGTATATTATATTATTGGATTACATATTGTGATGCATTAAGCATCGCTTTAATGTTGCAGCTGGCAATGGTGGGGCTGATTTTGACTACTTTATATATTGTTGGCTAGCGCACAGTAATCTATAATAATAAATCACAAAGTAAGAGAGAGAGTTATCAAATAATTGTAGTAGATTAACCATAAACTCATGTTCACAATGTTTACTGAGGTAATAAATCAAGTGAGAATTAGGGTAATTTTCTCATAGATTTACAATCACACTTCTTTTTGCAACCTGAGGAGTCGCACCCTGCTGACAAGTTTCAGGCATGGGCTTCACTTTTCAGACCCAGAGGTTGCTGCCTGACTGGAACAAAAGTAGAAAGTAGCATAACTTGGAAATACTTGAGTAAAGTACCTCAAAATTGTGTAGGATTTTGTGGCTTCTAGTGGTGAGGTTGCAGATTACATCCAAATAAATACCCCGCCGCTCAATCCTCTCTTTCAACGTGTGTCTAAGAACTACAGTGGCCTTCAGTAAACGTAAAAATGAGAAGTGCGCCCTCTACAACCAGTGTTTTGTTTGTCCATTCTGGGCTTCTGTAGAAACATGGCGGTGCAACTCGGCGTACTCCGTGAAGAGGACCTGCTGCCTATGTTGATACGAACAGCTCATTCTAAGCTGACGAAAATGCAAAGATTCATAGTTTCAGATGATTATACACCAATGAAAACGTAGTTTTGAATATCATATTCCATTGCTGCCAGTAAATCTCGCTAAATTCTACACACTGGTCCTTTAAGTACTTTACTTAGTAAATGTACATTCCACTGCAAGAGCTTGAGCCTGAGTAAATGTATGCGTAGGCACTGTTCTTACTATTGCTAATCATCCTCCTCCTCTTCCTCCTGTCACTGTTACTGAAACAATAAATAAAGGTTGTGTCATTCTCACTACACAAGGATACGGTTTGAATTTGAAATTTGTTGTTATCAACAGTTGAGGTTGTAAAGAAAAGAACAAATGAAATACGTGAAACTGTAAAGCTATAACTGGACCCATTTCACCATAAAAGGACACAAAAGCTTTTCCTTTCTGTTTGACGATGTTATATGAGTACACTCATCTTTCACGGATGTAGAATACCAAGTTTGTTCTTTCATGACTCAACGACATTCCATTGTACATTCCTGTATTGTATGATGACAATAATAAACCCTTGCACTTCATAAGATCATCCTCATGTAGAGGCGTATACATGTCCTGGGCGTATACATATATATAGAGTCATCCTTGAGGTACCACAAACACACGCATTCCTTTAATTTGCTTCTGGGTGTGTTCCTCTGCCATTCTGGGTGTCTGTCCCGTGGGGGGAAACAGACAGATAGGGCATATCCTGTGGACCGCTGGAACCGTCCTGGTGGAGGAGGACTGGATGGGCGGAGTGGGTGAAGAGGCGGAGCGGGGAGGGCGCTACAGATGTGAGCCCTGAGATAAGAGGGGAAAGCTTTCGTAACAGGATAATGGCTTCCTGTTTGAATGCTCCTGCAAATTGTTTGTCGGGTTACGGCGGCTTTGAACCGAGACACGTTTATCTGAGAATCAGACGGAGGGAGAATGTGAAAACAAGAACAACAAAGAGTCCTTGTGCTGTTTATCGGTATAATGATTTGGCTACAGCGACTGACCGCGGCAACAGGAAGGAGAGACGTTAAACAGGAAGTTGTCTGGAATCTGGGCAGAACACTGAATTGTAGGCTTACAGTTATACAACTCCATTAGTCACAGACACTGCCAATGTTTTCCTATTTACAGAAGATTTCAACATTTTTACTGTTGTTGGCGGCTTTAAAAAGACCACAAACTGTTGCAACAACACACTTCAATCATACAAGACAAGACAAAATCAGACTGGAGGATTACTCAAACTTTCTGTACTCATTCACACTTCCAAGGAGCCGACTTCAAAACACAATTCGCAAACAACTGCCGTACTTTGAAGACAGAGCTGCCAAACAAGACCTAAATTCTTTAGAAACAAGTAACTTCTCCGCATTGTTTTCGGAGTATAATGTCATCACAACATGCTCGCTTAAGTACATCGGCAGCACTGACAAGGCAGAAGACTTACGAACAAAAAACAGCACAGAGGAAATCTCTTCCTGTTCTGTCACCTGTCATGAAGCGGCATCATCCGTCTCAGTTCTCTTCTATCTTCAGCATCTCTTCTCTTGCATGCAGCCTGAGGATGTTAAGGCGCATCCGTCTCCTGCAGATGGCTGGTACAGACAGACAAGTGAGAAATGTCTCTGTGTAGCACAGAGGCAGAGATCTCAGGTGGGCCTTTCAGCTCTGCACACTGTAAAAGAGGCAACCCTGCCCGAGGAAAAACTGACCTCAAAGTAAAAGAGAGCACCATGCTCTCAGAGAAAGAAAGACCGGCTCTGAAACACGGTCTTAATATAAACTCTATGCAAAGCCAGCCCGCAGTTTGGACTCAGACTTCCCTTCCTTGGATCAAACCGCTGCGACGTGACCTCGTTCCACCTCTGTTTACAGCTTAGAGCACTTCGCTCACAGCAGTCCAGTCCGAGTTTATCACTTCTGAGGGATTAAGGCAGATTTGTCAGACAGCCTTTGGCTCCGCTGGCCTGAGGTGGCGCTCGGGGGCGCATACCAGATATCATCACCAGCCTGTTTAGCTAACCGTCCAGCAGTCTGGTGGGTCCCAGTCTGACCCTGCATGCTCCATATTCATGTGACATTCTGCACTGGTGGCCTGCCAGAGCTGTGTACAGAGACGTGATCGTGTCCTCTGAATTTAAAGCAGCACCGACTAGAACTAGAACTAAGGGGATACAACACTGTATATACAGTATCTACAGGTTTCCTGAAGGCATTTATCAGGTCTCCAGTAGTATTCTGGGTTTACTCACTCAGCAGCTGGCAGCGCAGGACCTGCAGGCTTGTCTTCATGGTATCATGTGATCCGGTTCCTCCTCCACAGTGCTCATGGTTCTCTAGTGAAGACAGAGAGAGAAAGAGAGCAGAAAAAGACAGAGGTAAGAAGTAACTCAGCGCAATGTCACGGTCAAAGATCCGTGTGATATACTGTGATCGTGTCTGGGCAGGTTTAAGTAAAGTAGACACGGAAAAGTAAGAGGGGATTGCAGATAAGATTGTGTGTCTTAACCTGGACGGTTTAATCCTTGTAATGACCCCTCACAGCGGATAATATGAATTACACCTAACTGAAATGTCACAATAAAAGACCAGGTGCAGCGGTGGTCAGCCTCCAAATCAGCATTGGCATCCTGCAGGCTGTGCTGGTGAGGAAAACCGATTATGGAGCATTAAACATTGACCAGTAAGCCTTGTTCTGAGACAGCCACTGGTATGTCAGCCAGGCAAGAACCCAAGGGTGCTCTTTGGGAGAATGGCTCACTGATGGCCTTCTGTTAAATGAAAGAACACACACACACACACACACACACACACACACACACACACACACACACACCTCCTTTCACCCCCAGAGGAGTGTGTGCATGTGTGTGTTTTCACCTCCCTTTGTGGAAGTGCCCTTCGGCAACACACGTGCCCACACCTCTCACCTGCACTAGTCCACATAAACAGACTTCTTAAGAAGAGTATTCAAAACATACATACACAAACACACACATACACACACACACACACACACACACACACACACAGACACACCCACACACACCTAAGCACCCTTCACCCTACCTGCATGAATAATCTGTTGTGAGTGTGACATGTGAAATTGGATTTGCGCCCCCCCAGGACGAGAGGTCTGCTTTCAGGCAACCTGTGTTTCTGTGGGAGACATGTGAGATGAGAGGGGACGGGCAACAAAAGCAGAGGGTAGGGTGCTGATCCTTTCATAAGGCCTTATTTCTCATAAATGGAGCCCCGCTGTGGAGACTGAGGAGACAACACACTACATCCGAGTCATCCTGTTTATATTGCTGCCATTGCGGCAACCTTTCAATGCTTGCAAACCATGTCTATTTATCTATTTATCTATCTATCTATCTATCTATCTATCTATCTATCTATCTATCTATCTATCTATCCATCTAACTATCCATCTACGGTCTATCAGATATTTTCATGGATTTCTTTAGTGCCTCGAGGGAAAATCAAAAGCATGAAATAATGGGCACAGCGTTGTAACAAATGACAATTTAGAAAAACAATTTTCTATCCCTCCTCCTGGCTTCGTTCTACAATTACAACAGAGAAATAAAGAATGAAATGAATGAATACAACAATGTAAAACCAGAAAATAAATTGGCTATCAAGGCACACATTTAAATGACTAACACACACAATTGTGTTCCAAGTGTTTAGAAAATGAAAACAGAGCCGCTCGCTGCTTCGCCGCCCTTAACTCACAGCTTTGAGTATAACGGCGTGGGTTCGGACGCAATACGGTGCGGGTAATTGCAAGAGAGTCGAGGCTGCAAGAATACAGCAGGAAGAGCAGAAAATTATTTTTTTCACAGCTTCACATCTGAAGAAATGACACGAGCTGCAACCGTCCCGAAACCCATCATCGCGTTCCACTCATAGCCCCACCACAATGTTGCAGCTCCATAGCCTTGGAGCTTTACTCCTTCCCTGTGCTTTAATTTTTTTTTTGTTAGCATCATGTTCCCGGCCTAATGAGCTCAATGGCACGGTGCGATGAGAGCAGCTGAGCCTCTCCACGGTGATTACACCTCATCAGCGCTGCCAGGACAGCTCAGCCCCATAGACACGCTCTTTAATTTGCAGGGTACAAGGGGTGAGGCCGGGCGAAGGTGGGTGGGGGAGAGTAGAGATAGTGGCACGGAGTGTTTGATTTATACTTGTTACTACAGAACAGAGCAAGGTTGTTGTTGAGAAAGGAGGAGAAGCTGCATGGACAAAAGACAGGCCTCCTGCTGCTGCTGCGAGCACATGCAGGTAGAAGATAATATGAGATGACAGTCAGGGTCGCGGCACTAAAACCTCAGACAGGATGAGAGATTCCCTGGCTGCAGGTGGCGGTTTTGTTGCTGCAATGCCCAACGCTCTCCCACCAACACAGCAACCTGGATTCGCTTCCAGTGCCGCGGACTTGGACCGGGAAGCTGGTGAGGGATCATGTCGTTGTTGCTGCACAAGGGATTCCTACTGGGCGGATGGAGGCCCTGCGTGGAGGCGGAGTCTGCTCACACAGACGTTGCTGCTACATTACAAAATGCAGCCCCCTCATTCTTGCCGACACACAAAGGGCTCAGACAAAAATATGCAGAGTCATTCGGAAAAACGAAGCCTGGCTAAACTTCATACTTTTATTTTACGCTCTGATAAACTCTCAACCTCAGGGGTGTATTACTCAAACTACCAGGATCATATATTTGCACAGCCCTCTGTGTTTTTAGTACTCTGCAGTACTATAAAAATTAATAAAACCTTTTATTGCAGACAACATCAACAACACTGGCTTCAACAGTAATAGATCAGATGTGAAAATGCATCATACGGACACAGATTTACATGTTGAGCTGAGCGCTGTGCACGTAGCAGTATAGCTTTCTACTGTAGAGGGAGGAGAAAAAAAAAGTTGCATGGCAACTGACATGCACACAGACGGCAGCCATCACCATGGCAACCCTAATAGTACATTATATTGAAATTCATTCACAAGGACATTTCGGGGACCAGACTGAATCAGAGGGGGGGGGGGGGAAAAAAAGAAAAAATAAGAAAAGAGGTGGATTTAGAATTACATAAATTCCCACTCACCAGTGAGAAATCCAGTAACAAGCTTTTCTCTGGGACTCGATGCAGGCTTTGTGTTTGCAGTCCTGCTGACAGGACCTGGTACTGGTCTGAATAGTGTCTAGAGGGGGGTACAGACAGGCCAAAGCCAAGGTCACCCAGGACGTCACAATGAAATAAGCCTGTCACTCCGACTCTCCGTGGCCACCGGCCGCAGCGATAACAATGCTTTTAATTTTGGACTTCCCTCTATTCTGCGGTTATGTTTAGGAGCCGTGGCAGCAGGCTGGCTGCTTGCCCACAGCGGCTGCAGCCTGAGAGCTTTTCCATAACGAGAGGAGGAGGAGGAGGGAAGGGAAGTGTGGGAGGCGACAACGAGGGTGCGAACTACAGTGTTGTGCTCTCACAGTCAACTGATAACTGGACCTCCAATCACGACTGTTCTGACTGATGCTTTTCTTCCTGCTGTTCTGATGCCACGCTCTCACGCTTTGGTTTTATCTCTTTGTCATGAAGCTTCTCTCTGTATAGAATAAAGAGAGGTGAAAAGCGTGAAACCTGTGGCTTAGACATAATTGAAGAGATGCATGATTGAATCTTTCAGCGTCAACAGCAGACTTGCAGCATGATCGCATAAAAATCGGATTACTTCAATGCTGAATTAATTGCATTAATTCCCAGACTTGATGTGATCTCAGCTCCATTTCAAGTTGTTTGAGGCAAACTTCCCTCAGCCCTGCCCTCCCACAGCGACCCAGGGGACATGCTCACACGGAGGGTGCCCATTTTTCTTTATTGATGCTGTTTATACCCTTTGGTGGAAATCAACGAACATTCCCCGATCGCTCTGTTTCTTGCTCTGTCCGTGTGTTTCTTCCCAAAAAGTGGCTGTAATTCGTTACACTCTGGGAGTGTTGACGCCATCTTGGTGACCTTGCGAAACAACGCACCGCTTGGCACCAATTGTGTGGGACTGTGGCTTATTGTGCAACAGGGATCCTGATTACTGATTACAGCTGTGAACAATTCTGTTATGAGACCATTTTCCGTCAGTGTGTGGGTTGAAAAGCAGTGCCGGTGACTCAAGAGAGACTCTGGGGCTTTGATAACTTAATTGTCCTGCAGGATACACACAACAACTGAATGATTACGAGTATTGATTCCATCCAACAGGCCTAAATTAAATGCAAGCAGCAAGAACCACAAAGCAGGGATAGGTTTCAAGGGAGCTCTCTAATCCTTCCATCCCTGAAGGCGGCCACATTGCTGAGTCACAGCGGTGAGCTGTATGCGTGAGCGCTGTCAGTCGTGGCCCCTGGATGGTAAACCTGGCTGGATGAGTTGCAGGTGCTGCGTCATGAAGGCTGGCGGAGGATGTGCAGGTTATCAATCAGCCGCATTACTCCCCTCCAAGCTCTGTACCGCGGTACAGCAACATGCCAGTCATTAAAAGAACATTAGGCTCCCAGCATGCCGTTCACTCTGAAGTAGCACTGTACTTTATTTGGTTGCACCAAAGCAGGAAACATGTGAAAACTCTTACTCTGTGCATGTAAATCAGCATATTAGCTTCAATATTGCTTATTTCAAAAAATACTGGAGGTAAAAAAGTGTGCAGAATGTTTTTTTTTTTACAACTAATGGAATAATTACAGGTGGAACAAGTGGACCAACGTTAGGTAGCACCACTGCAGAGCACCTATATGGTCCTCAGGGGAAAAGTGCATATTTAAGTGCTTTATTTCTCCATTACCGTTGTATCATCCCTTCAATTTTGTGCCAAATATTACAGACTATTGTACTGTATTTTTTGCTGTGAATCTGAGTCATCTTTTGTAATTGCCAAGCTGACCACAGATGCCGACAGGTATGAAAGATGCAAACAAGTTCAAAGCCATCTTCCTGTATTCTTTAAATCAGGCTCTATCCTTTACTTTTCTACCATGATAGTGAGCTACACTGCTTCATCAAGTCACTCATGTAAGATTATTCACGATCATCCAGATGATGGAAATTCACCGTGATCAACTTATTGTTTGATATTCAAAACTATGTTTCGATAGAGTTAAGAGCTCGCTGCCATCATCTCCAAAGTTTTCAGCTATTCAAATATGTCTGATGTTGCGCTAATTGAAGGATGTTTACCTGGTCGGAAAAACTAGCGAGCCAATCAGAGCTTTGTAGGTGGCTTGAAGAATGGGAACGCCTTCCTCTTGTGCAAGCGTCAGAAAAGGTAAAGACA